TCTCTCTCTCTCTCTCTCTGATTCTTTGTAATTTTTAGTCTCAGTTTCATTAATTTCTGTGCTGATGCTCATAATTTCCTTTTTGTACTAGCTTTGGATTTGGATTGCTCTTGTTCTTCTCAGATCTTGAGTATATTCCTAGGTTATATTTTGGCTTGCTCTGTTTTTCTGATGTGGAGCCATAGATTTCCCTCTTAGGACTCCATTCATTGTGTCTCATAAATTCTGGTATGTTATACTGACATTGCCATTTGATTGTAGGAATTGTCTAATTTCTTTCTAGGTTTCTTTTGTAATCCATTGACTATTCAAGAGTGTATTGTTGGGCTGGCCAGATACCTCAGCAGACGAAAGCATATGCTTAGGCAGAGCGCAGCCACCAGAGTTCGATCGCTGGCTTGCTATGCCATGCTGGCTCAGCCCCTGAGGTGCTGAGCTGGCGATTGAGACTGGGCATGGTGGCGGACGCCTGTAATCCCAGCACTTGTGAGACTGAAAACAGGAGAACCACTATGAGTCCAATCTACATAGTGAGACCCTGTTGACCCTGCAGACCCTGTACCAAATACTAAAAAAAAAAAAGTGTATTGTTTAATTTCCATGCATTTGAATAATTTTTGTGGTTTCTTCTCAACTGATTTCAAGTTTCATTATGCTGTAATCTGTTAACATGCTTGTGATAAGTTTGATTTTTGTTCCCATGTACTTAACCATGCTTTGTTGGCCAATATGAGATCTATTTTGGAGAAAAGTCCATGTGCTACTGAAGAGAATGTGTATTGTGTTGTTTTGGGGTGGAACACTATCGATATATAGACATCAAGCTCCCTTATTCAAGGCTTCACTCGCTTCTAATATTTCTTAGTTGATTTTGTGTCTAGTTGATCTATCTTTTTTTTTTTTTTTGATCTATCTTCTTGTGACAGTGGGATACTGAGGTCCTCTACTACACTGTGTTGATTTGTTTCAGATCTTTTGTCTCTAGTGGATTTTGTTTTATGAAGTTGGGTATGGTATGATGGTGCTTGCTTCACCCCTGTTTAAAATTGTCATCTCCACCTGTCGAATCAATCACCTATCCAATGTCTAATGACCTTCTTTGTCTTTTCTGATCACTTTTAGCTTGAAGTTCATTTTATCTGAAAACAGAGCAGCTACTCGTGCATGTTTTTGGGTTTCCATTATATGGCGTATTTTTTTCCATCCTTTTATTCCTAGTGTATGAATTTTTTTTGGTTAAATGTGTTTCTTTTAGACAGCCTATCATTGGATTTTATTTCTTGACCTATCCTGCAAATTGTGTCTTTTGAATGGGCAATAGAGACCATTGATTTATTTTTATTTTTACTTTTTCATTTATTTGTTTTATTATCTAAGTTTTCTATTCCTCATTTATCTGTATGGTATATTATTTCCCCATATTTGCAAAGTTTCATGCTATTATTTCTGTAAACAGCATTTTTAAAAATGTGGCAATTTTGCTGTCTTTTAATTTTTCACTAATTTCAGTTAATCTCCAAGTAATTTGTGTCATCTAGCAGCGTTGGATGAATTTTTCATGTTCTCAAGCTAACTGTATAAATGGTCACTGACTTGAGATCTCTATCTTCTAGTTCTTTCTTTTTTAGGCAGGGTTTTGCTATATGGTTCAGGTTGGCCTAGAACTCGCGGCGACCTTCCTGCCTCAGCCTCCCTCCAGAGTGCTGGGACTTACATCGTGCACCACCATGCCCAGCTCTGTCTTCTAGTTCTGATACTTTGTTTTCACAAGGATGCTTCAACTGCCCATATTCACTAGAATTTGTAATCTCCTGAATTTCTGTTTGATAATCTTTTCATAGACTCTAATTCCTTGTTAAACTGGTCATTCATGCTTATATAATTATGTTTAGTTCAGTAGACTTTTTGTTAGTATTTTCTGTAAACTGATTGTTTTATGTGTTATGTCCATTTTCTGTTAAGGAATATCTTCCTTGAGCTTGTTGACCACCTTATTGACCTTTTAAAAACATCTTTTCTGTTACCTTTCTGAATGATTTGGCCCCCCAGCATTTGACTTCTTTCCCTTCAGTGTTCCATGGGTTAACTTTGAAGAAGTCAGGAGTTTTTGGAAGCCTTTTGTTAGTTTCTCTTCTAGTGTTCCTAGTGTTTTTCTTTGTTTCCTTGAAGTTTGGGGCTAATTGTGTGGGAGACTTTGTTGCTAGTATGGGGCTCTCTGTAGTTAGCATCTGCTTTTCTGTGCTGCACTCGGGCCTGGGTGACTGTAGGCCGTTGCCTCTGTCCCAAGATCCAGGCGCCTTCATGTGTTTGGGAGGATGCAGTGTATTTGTCCCAGAACCCAATTTTCTGGGAATGCGCCATGGTATTGTTAAGGCTCAAAGGCTATCCAGATATCGGCACAGAGAAAAATAAAACAATTAATGGGAACAAATATGCCACCTTGGCAATGACAATAATTGAGCAACAATAATATTATCAGAAACAAACTAGAGATTGACATACCCTGAAAACCAATAATATACCACACCACCGAACAAAATGTATAACCGTCGAACAAAAATGTATAATTATAGTATAAACCAGTGATCGTGAATATTTTAGAGACTGATTCTCCAAATTACAACTCCTTGCTTGTTTATTACAAAGTTGTACTACTACAATTAAATATGAATACTGAGGTTTTAGTTTAGAAAAAACAACATTTTTTGACTTAAAAGAAAAACAATAATAGAGTTTTCAACAATATAAAATGCTTTTATTGAAAGGTCAACGTTTCCATTTGGCGTGCTTTCGCACAGTTGATGTGATCTTTGATGCTGTAGGCATGCTTGTAATTTGTCAGATCTTGGCTTGCGCAGCTTGGTATCCAGGCCAACGGAGGAGGCTCTGTGCCTGCTTTGGTAAGCAGATGATACGTCTGCCACCCCTGGTACAAACACTGAAACCAAGTGTTAACATACAGCAAATATGCACTGAAAGCAGCTATACCTCTACCAACAGTGGAACAGTATTCTACAGTAACAGCATAGAATCAACAACCTAACGATTCATAAAGCTTAATGGTTACACTAGTAGTTATAGAGGGATAGGGAGTGGCAGAATGAAAGAAGCCAAATTTGAAAAAATTAATGGAAGACATGAAGGAGGAGAGAAAAGTGAAACAGAGGATTCTATTGAGGGGTAAAAGGAAATTGATAGTATAAAATTAAAATGACAGAAAAGAATAAACTAGAAAAAGAAAAAAGAAAACATAAAGCACAATAGAAGAAAAAAGAAAAATAAGAGGAAAGTTAAAAGAAGAAAATACAAAAAGAAAAGGAGATAAAAGTCCTAACCCACCCCCCAAGGAAACCAATAAAGAAAAACGAGAGAAAAAACAGAATGAAATAACATTCCCGTGTATTTTCATGTATGTGCTGCTGAAGCAAGAGTTTTCTTTGTGTTTCTGAGGGGTAGTTTCTTCACAGGATTTGCACTTGTGGAATCCAGCAAGTCATGATTTTCTTCTCCTAGCATTAAGGCCTGTGAGTTTTTTATGCATTCTGTGTAAGCTGCACTCACTTGGGCTATTTTCTTACTGTGGAAGGCAAGGATTTTGTCCTTCCCAGCCGGAGCTTAACCTCTTAGGGGGTCTACGTCTAGCCTGTGTCCAACCCATGGCTATTGCGAATGCAGTCTCTTATGCAGTCACTGTGGGAAGGAACCACTGAGAACACTGGAATTGACTTGTTCTGTGGCTCCGTCTTCATTAGCCCCTTCCCAGAAGAGCACCTGATCAAGCAATCTGGAAAATACCAAGCACTGCGCTGGGTTTCTCTTCCATTTCTAGCCTGCTGTGAAGGGGTCACTTTCAGGGTAAAATCCTATGCTAGTTTTGTGGTGTACAGTTGGTGTGGGCCTTCTGTGGGGCTACTGCTGCTGGCCAGGTTAATACTTTCTCCCTGGATCTGCCGGCTTCCCAAGATTGCCTTCTCTTCCAGAGCACTGGTCTTATTGATGGCCAGACTGGTCAGCCGATGCCACTCCTCTCCCATGTTGCAGGGGAACAAGATGAGCGGGCAGGTGGTTGCACCTGGGCATGGAACCCTTGGGTGCGAAGTTGGCCGGGGACCAGTGCGTGGCTCCATTGGCCAAGCATATGGCTTTGTGGTCCAGATAATTCTCGTTGGAAAACAGTAAACTGATTCACTATATGAAAGTTCTCTTCACTAGGAGTCCCTGGAAACCAGAGCAGGCCAAGCCTCCAGGCAGGTAAATACATGAAGAATCACAAGAGCAGTCACTTTGTGTGTCTCCTCACCTTCACCATTAACTGGCTAATTCATGGAGCTAAAGTAGACTTCAGAGGCTGGCGTCTGTATTAGTCTTCTCAAGTGTGGCTTTTAGTTTTGCCTAAACTGCCTGCTTCTAGTAAGAGCTGGTTGGAAATAGAGTATTTAAGAAACTGATTCTTAATAAACATAGCAAATACTAATCTCTATCATATAAAGAAATCAGGGTCCTGGACTCGGGAATTTCTGAGCCTTCTGACACTGAATGAAAGGTTTTATGTTTCATAACCTCCTTTCCAGCTTAGCCCAAGGTGTTGGTGAATGGCTACTTGAAAAAGACAAAGCAAGTTTAATTCATATATAAGTACTTTATTTTGACTGAAAACATTATATTTATCATATCTCTTAGACTGTATATTCATTCACCATATAAAGGCAACTCTTTTACTTTGAATGTAGTTGGCTGACTAGAGATCCTTGTCTTTCTGGTGTACACTATAACCATATTTAATTGTTCGTTCCAGGTTTTATTTATGGTACCTGTGAGGCTCACCTATTGCTGTGTAATAGGTTACTCCAAAACTTAGTAGATTAAAACGAAATTATTTCAAATTTTTTTTATGGCTTCTTTAGGTCAGCAACTCAGGAAAGGCCTGAATGAATAGCTCTAGTCCAGGGTTTCTCCCGAGATTGCAGTCAGCCATGGAAGCTGAGAGGGCGGGGTTGGACTACTTGTTGGCCAGCCAAGTGTTCTTCCCTCTTTGTGTAACTTCAGAGCTTCTCCAAATTTCTTGGGTTTGGTTGGGGCTTTTTTCAACATGGTTCCCTTAAACAATTGGCTTAGTGCTTCAGAGAGCCAGGCGAGAGGTGGTCATTGATAACCGAATACAAAATTCACATAGTGCCACTCTCACCACGTTCTGTCAGCTAAAAGCTAGTGGCAGTGTCCCCAAGTTGAAAGGAGAGGAATTATATTCTACTACTTGATAGAGAAAATAGCAAAGTCCTGGAAGTATGGCTGGATGGGGGATAATGTTGCAGCTGACATTGGAAAATACAGTTTGCTACAGTCTGCTTCCTGGAGTGCATCACAGTCACGAACCCATCTTCCCCAAGGCTGACCTGTCTATGCTGTTATCTGAAACTTTGAAGGCTCTAGACTGGTGTCCCTGGAAGCCTGAGGTCCTTGCTGTTGGAGGAGGGATGGAGGATGGGTGCCTGCATGTTTTGGATATAAGTAGCGGGAAGAGCATGCAGACTCCAAGCACAAACTCACAGGTAAGCTTCTCCTCTGAAGTCTACCTTCATCCTGGTCTTCTAGAATCTTAGAAAAATAATTCATGACAGAACATATTACCCAAACATTCTTACCCTTCTGATGCTATAAAGAATTTCAGTTCTCAAGAGTTTCTTTTTCTTGGGTAAAAAAAAAATCTCTTAATCTGTGTTTCCAAAATTTTCTCCCTCTCTCCTCCTCTCTCCTCCCCTCCCTTCCTCCCCCTTCTCTTCTGCATTTGTCCCCTTACTACTGCTTCAACTGTAAAACCCAAGAGCAGTCTGGCTGTCTCTGGCCCATGACCCCAGTTCACTTAAATTTGCTTGTTACACCTATACCTATTTGTTTATTTCTTCCTTTGTTGACTTGGGATAAGTATTATCAAAACTAGTATCATTCTTCTAAACCTTCATTCCAGCTGTGACTAGAGGATGAGTAGTGGACTGGGTGTAATTTCTGGAATCAGTTTATATTTATTTATTTTTATTTATTTTGTACAGGGTCTCACTACACAGCTCAGACTTGTAGTGATCCTCCTGTTTTCAGCCTCCCCAGAACTGGGATTTCACGTGTGCACCACCATGCCTGGTCTTGGTGGCTGGCTCAGTGCACCCTGGAGTGGGGCTGGCATGGCATGTGGTGCCAGGGATTGAATCTCAGTCCCAGTGCTTGGTTAAGCAGGTGCTTACTCCAGTGAGCTGTCTTACCGGCCCTCTAGAAACAGTTTAAATACATTCATAATGAATCTGAAATTGCTAAAATTCTCTATTCTATGGTCATCATTACAGATCTGTTCCTTAATCTGTTACCTAAGACCATGGAGATTGCAACTGGCCAAGGTGCTCCATGGAATGACGTGGCTCTGTGGACCTGCCCCACTCTTTGCAGGTCCAGTGGGTTCCTGAGTAAGTGGGGACAAAGGCCTGTTACCTAGGGTAAAGCAGGCTGCCATTCATAGAAAAGTCCCTAAGTGAAAGAATTTTCTTTTGCTGCCCTATACCCTCCCCTCCTCAGCGAGTATCTGGACAGTGTTTCTGAATTTGACTACAATTGCATATCATCTAAAATTGTCAAATCTTCTTCCCCATGTATCTGTGTATGTGTATACAGGGGTGATCTTGGGCAGTTTTGAAATCCAATTCAGTTTTGAGCTCATCTTGTAAAAAAACATACAGCAACACAGAGGATAAGGAGGCAGGTTAGACAATGTTATATGTGACAAGGTCACTAAAAGTCACGAGGCTTCCTGTGAACGTCTGTCCTTTGAGAGTATTGTGACTGAATTCAGGGCCTCGTGATTGCTAAGCCTGTGTTCTACCACCGAGCCTGGATCGCTATTCTCTGTCAGTTTAGTTCTACAAACTTTTTGGAATTCTCCTTGAAATTAAGGCCAGTGATGGATAAAGAGAACCAAGCCCTTTCCCCAGGACCTTAAATTTGGAGTGGTTGATAATAATAATAATAATAATAATAATAATAATAATAACAACAACAATAATAATAATGGGTTGGGAAGATGGCTCCATAGAATAAGCACTTCCCTGGCAAGTGCAAGGGTCTGAGTTCAATCCCTGGTTCCACCAAAACAAAAAACAAAACAACAACAACAACAACAACAACAATTATATATATATATTTAAATGAAAAAACAGGTGTTACTTTGTGAGACTTTTGTTATTTATATGTGGTATGTTTATGTGCCTAGCTATAGGGCTGCAGCATAAAATACAACTTTCTCTTTTTTATGTGTTTTGTACAGGGTGTCACTATGCAGCTCAGACTTGTAGTGATCCCCCTGTCTCAGCCTCCCCAGTGCTGGGGTTACAGGAGTGCACCACCATGTCTGGACTTGGTGGCTAGCTCAGTGTGTCCGGGGACAGGACCAGCATGGCATGTGGGGCCAGGGATCGAACCCTGGTCCCTGTGCTTGCCTAATCAGGCCCTTAGTCTGCTGAGCTGTCTCACTGGCCCTCATAAAATACAACTTTGACTGTGGGTTGTGGTGAGAGAGTTTGGAAAAAGCTATCCTAGAGACAAAGTGCAGTGGTTACAAAGCAGGGACTGTCAACAACTGCTAGAGACCAGGAGAGGCAAAGCTTCCTGTTGTCCCATCTCCACACTGGGAAAGAATCAGTGGCTGTTTTCAGCCACGTACCTCACAGCCATTTGTCATGGTGGCCACAGGTGCTGATGTGGGGCAAGAGCCCTGGGGGAGACACTGAGTGCAAGGCAGCCACTGAGAGTGGCGCCTCGGCCCACCTGGGGTGCAGGCCCACAGTGGGCCACCGTCCGGCTGCCTGTGCTCCTCAGCAACAGCCCCCACTGTTCTTCCTACGTGAGAACGGGCATCAGATGCGAGGAAGTGCCTTCCCGGTGCGCACGGCTGCTCTCAGACCCTTTTGCTAAGGCTGCTTTATTCACTGCCTTCTCTCACTGCATTTCCCAGAGATGGTCTTCGGCTTCTCTCTTCCTCCTCCTTGTCCCTTCCCTTCTCTACCTCCTCCTCTTCTACCTTTTGCTCCTTTCCCTTTTAAAGATTCACTGTTTTAATCAGAATAATGTCTATAGCAAAGAATTTTGAATATCTTTCTCATAGCTGATTCTTCTAAATTCTAGTCTCAAATTTCTGACTGCCTCTGGATCCTTTCTTTTTCAGATTCTCTAACTTGAAAACCCAACTCATTAACTTGAGAGACACTTATTGAAGTCCTCCTATGTGCTGTGTGTTCCGTAAGCATGCTTATTCTTTTCTCTTTAAATTAGCTATTCTGTCAGTTGCCTTTCCCTGTCTTAGTCTGTTTTCTGCTGCTATAACAGAATCCCTGAGACTGGATGAAATGCAAGCAATAAAAGTTTATTTAACTCTTGCAGGCCGAGATGTCCAAGAGCATGGCACTGACATGCGGTGGGGCCTCTGTGCTGTGCCGTCCTCTGCAGAAGGCAGAAGCGCTGGGGACACATTTGAGCTGCCGCACTCTCGGTGGTCTCGTCCTCATCCTGGTCGCCCCGCTTCCCGAGTGTTCCACCGCATTCTGCCTTGGTTTACTCCTTGTTCTCTTTTGCCTACGCATACCTGCGTATATGCCGGCCAGTGCACTGTGAAGGCGCTCTCAATTCTCTGTCTGTAGGCTTCTTGAGTCTGCACTCAACTGCTAGGTTACGCTTCTGAAAGCGCTGTGCGAATGCCTTTGGTCCCTGCTCATAAACTCTCGGCGACACTGTATTACTGAACCCCTGTGCACCATCCTCCAGAGCCCTGATCCTCCTGACCCCATGAAGTTGGGGCTCCTATCCTGTCTCAGCTCCATACTAAACAGGTCACAGCATCTTCAAGAACAAGACTTGTGTGGGCCAGGGAGATGGCTCAGTAGAGTAAGTGCTTGCCTGGCAAGCACAAGGGCCTGAGTTCAACCCCTGGGTCTGCCAAAAAAAAAAAGAAGACTTGTGCTTGATCCCTGCTAAGGCTTCTACATATTTGCTGCCCACTACTCTGTCTGTTTAATACCAATTTCCACTCATTGTCTACATTAATTCTTGGCTATATCTTTAAAAAATTTTTTTTATTATTATTTTTTGCTATATCTTTTGATTTTCTGCCTTGGTGCCTTTGGAGGGGATTTTCCTGGATCCTGCTCCTTTCCCCCTTTTCTTTACATATCTTTGCAAATCTTATCCTCTCCAGGAAGTATTTAAAGATAATTGCTGGGCGTGGTGGTGCACACCTGTAATCCCAGCACTTGGGAGGCCGAGGCAAGAGAATTGTTGCGAGTTTGAGACCAGCCTGGGCTACAAAGTGAGCTCATGGCCAGTCTGAAATGCATAGTGAGACCCTATCTCAAAAACAAAATAATGTTGCCTGGTTTTGACATCTTGCCATTAGTCTGTATTGCCTATTTAATATTAGTGTGTTATACTGTTTTCTAAGTCTTGTATTCCTATGTGAATATTTGATTACTTTAGTCTTAATGTGCTTATTTGTTCCCTGGACAATTAAATTGAGGTGAAGAGTAATATTAGAATGTTATTATGTGTATCCCAGCTAACACGTATTGATTCATTTGCTTTATCATGAAACTTTTAAAAATAAATGTATATCTTCTCCTTTGTCTCCTCAAAAATCCATAAGTTTGATAATTGAAAGGTGCAATAATATATGCAAGGGGAATTGGGACTCTCGTGGCAAGTTAGTATTAATTTGCCAATAAACTTTTCTTTCCTGTTTTTTAACTCAAAATATACATGCTAGTAATTCTTTTTTATGAATTTTCAAGCCACTGAATGATTCAAATATCATATATTTTACAGTGTGCACTGTTTTTTAAAATTTTTACTTTATTTTTATTTATTTTTTTGTGGCACTGGGTATTGAACTCAGGCCCTTGCACTTGGCAGGCAAGCACTTATTCTACTGAGCCATCTCCCTAGCTCCACACACTTTTTTTTTTTAAGCTAATGGTTTTTTGTGGTGCCAAAGATTGAGTCTAGGGCCTTGCACTTGCTAGGTGAACGTCCTACCATCACCCCAGTGTGAACTAGCGGCTTCAATATGACCTTAATTAGCTGGTGTAAGGTGTGAGAACATGTTTAGCTGAGGAATAAGCAAAATGATGAGTAAATATCCAGTATTCCGCCCCAGTCGGTTTTGGGGTATGTCTGTTTTAACAGTAATATGATATTACATCATGGCCAACAGGCTGTCATTTAAGAAAAATACAGCTAGATCTTTTACCTGCTATTAGGTTCAGTAGGAAGTTTGGGATAGTTATTTTGTAAAGAAAAAAGTCAACTTGTAGGTAATATACCAATAGAATCCTTGGCTACAACTAATTTTTAACTGTGTAATTAAACTTTTTTTGAGTAGCAATAAACATATAGCACAGAGTGAAATACTGAGGTACAAAGTGTAGAACTTTG